GCCGACCGCATCGATGTAATGATTGAAACGGTTCTTATACGATTCCCACTTCTCTTCGTCTGGTTTAAACGCTGGGAATACTGGGTTGGAACTCATGGTGCTGGAACGGCTGGGCTACCTGCGGAAAAAATCTCTCTGGGACTACGAGCGCTCGTGAGTTACTAGTGATATCAGCTCTGGAGAGGTTTTTTGCTAACCTCTCTTTCTCTCTCTGGGTTACCACGTTGGCTGCTAGCCGTTGGAGGTGTCTAGATTCGCGCCAAAAAAATGGGCGTTAGTGACTCTCTACAGCGCTGTGCTGTGATTCCTACTGGTTCGAAATTCAAATGACACCCGTTTGAATTTCGCGCCAAATGCAGAGCGGCTGCGGCTCGCAGCGCTTCACTTTCCCCGTAGCGGGGCTAACAAGCGGCTACGGACGCTTCTAACTTTTTGACTCAGACCGCTTTCTCTGGCTGCGGATCAGCGTTCCCCTTATCGCCAGCCGATCGCTCTCTCTGGGCTGCGGATCGGTGGCTAGTGACTCAGCGGTTGCAAGGTGCATCTGGTAGCCATCCCATCCTCGTCGCCAGTGTTAAGTTTGAGCAATGAGAGGCTGAACCAGAGCATGAGTGCAACGGTACTTTATTTTACAAATAAAGGGCTGACCGTGCTTGCCAAGCCTGGAACTGGCTCGCAGCAATCAGCAACCAGTTGGACCCCGCAGCCTGCTTTTATAGCTGGCTGCTGGGGAGTACCAACCAATGGGAATGGGGGAATATCGCCCACACAAAGTGAGTGGACCTGAGTGAGAACTCCTTGAGTCCTCAGGACATAACACCTTCAGGGAGGCTAGATGTGTTACTTTGATATCTTTCAGGGCAGAATAACACAAGAAGTTGGTATATCCTACTTATATATGCTGGACAGTTGTAAATTAACTAGATATTGATAAATCTGTTGAAATAAAGATACTTAAAGTTAGAAGTTCTGTATCCGCTTTGGGTTTTGGGAAGTTTGTAAAGTGATAAATGTGCATTAAGTCTTGCAAATGTGTTAATGCTTTAACATTGCCTGTGAAATTTCTGAGAAAATAAAATTTTAGCTGTATCACAGCCTATCTACCAAGAAAAGGAACACAGTATCAGATTAGCAAAAAGTAGAGGAGGGGCTAGATCTTTTCAAATGGTAGGGTTTTATATTTATTTTATTGTTTATGTTTTCTGCATAATCTTACATTATTTAAAACATGGTTTTATCAAGATATCTGTATTAGCTTAACTTATTTAATTGTATAGTTTAATTATTCATTTTCTTTTAATATAATTTACAACCCATTTGGAAGTTAGTGACTAGAAATGAATAGTTTTAATTTTGGGTTATTTAGATGATTTGAAAATTGACTTTATTTATTTGGGTTTCTGAAGAGTTGTCAGAAACTTTATCTTCCAAACCAGTTGTACATACTTTGAAGATCTGTTTTTTTAAAAAATTGGATAATTCATGTACAGTTCTGAAGAGCTCATTAAGGAGAACTATATACAAACCTTGACACACTAAAAGAATATTAAATCAGTTCAAATTGTGCATAGCCATGTAAGGTTATTGAAGCATTTCAAAATGTTGAAAGAGCTTGAATTTGAAAAGGGCAAGTAGTTTTAGAGACTTAATTTAAAACACTTATTGAAATCATTCTGAAGCAATGAGAGCTTTAATCTCTGTATTGTAAAATGCTGAGTTTTTTAAACTATTGTCAGTAACTAAGATGTGAAGAGTCTTGTTTGGGTTGAATCACAGGATATCTTGAATCCTGGGAGGAATAAAATGACTTTAGGGACATTTACCTTATGGCACTTTCAGAATGCTGAGTTTTACTTAGAAGGTCATCCTAAATGACTAAATCCCTGTTGTAATGACAATTTATATAGGGTCACATAAGTCAAGGTTGATGCAGAAGAATCACTTCAAAGGAATGAAAGAAGTTGTCAGGCAAGTAAGTTTTAAAAAGGATAAGGTGCAAGAGAGTAATGTAATTGATAAGTATGATATTAGCAGGAAGAAAGATACTAAATTCAGGAAAAAAGGAAGCTAGTTAACCAAAATGTTAAATGACAAACATGTTTCAAGATCTGACTTTTAAGTTCTTACAGTCAGCTTCTTGTTTTTATATTTACTTTTCTACTTGATAAGATTCTGATCTCTGTAGTTGCAAATATCATTCAACACAAAGGACAAAGACATTATAGGAGAATCTGAAACTTTGTAGAAAAAGATGCATAAAACACACTGCCTCAATATAGCAGAATACTGGAGATCCTAATGGTTAAACTAGGAAATTCAACTGACAGTTCTTTCTGGTAAGGGCTGTGTGAAATTTAAAGGACATAAATATTTAGATGGACAAATGCTAACCAGAAGCAGCTTGAGGGAAACAGCATCAGTATGCTTTTTTTGTTTGGTTGGTTGTTTTTGGATTTTGGGAAGGGTAATGTTGCAATGAGATATGAGCAGAAAATAGAACATTAGAACAGTATGTGTGATTTCATTCCATTGATCTCTGGTTTATAGACATATTCTTCAGTTTTAAGGATTTTTAGCCTCAGGGATTTTTCAATATTTTACCAGAAATATTTCACAATATGTATTGACCTAGTGGTCAAGACACCAGGCTAGAAAGTGGAAGATAGTGAGTTCTAATTTGGTTGACTTTGAGCCAGTCATTCACTCTCAACCCAACTGTCCTCACAAGGTTGTTATTATGAAGAAAATGGGAGGAGGAAGGTGTGTTGGGTATGTTCACTGCCTTGATAAATTTATAAACATAATAAAGGTGGGATATAAGCAAATAAAAAAATTCAGCCATCAACAGTAGTTTGGCTTAGTGTTTAATTCAATAAAACTAGCTTTGTTTTTGATACTGGCCCTCATGCTAAACAAAAACACAGGCAGCTTTAAGATCTGAGATTATAAAGGAATCAGAATTCCAACTGAACGACAATGTTTTTCGATAATTCAATAACCTATCCTCTTTCATGCTGATGCTTCTATTGCATCACACAGCAGTATTCTATAAAGCATCAGTCATATTGATAACATTACATGAATGAGTTTTCTAGTACAATAGCAACAGTGGTATGCTTATGAACAGAACAGCCAGATTTCTCAACCAAAAGTGCTTTTCCCATGAATAAGAAAGATGGTTGATATGCCGTTTTGAAAGGAATGCAAAATAGATATATAAGATGTTCATAAATAGTGGAAAAATTGATGTAGAAAGCATTTATATATTCAGCAGATATTTGAAATGAATTGTTGTTTTTCAAGAATACGGGTGGTATGGTGACCTAGAGGTCTTGCCTCCCACTTGGAAGGTTGAGAATTCAGTCCTAGGCAGTGACAGATGTTTTTCTATCAGGGCACAGAAAGAAAACATTTGCTGCGAACTTTGTATAGGTGTCAAGAAGGATATCCAGCCAATAAACGCCTGTTGCCTTGAACCCACCCCAAAGCAAGGGATTATAGGGTCATAAAAATGTGTTCAAGTGTGTGATTTTGTCCAAATATAGAATTATATTAAAATATAGAAAATATGGGTTTAAACAGTAGCTTGTTACCACAGTGTTTATAACTTTCCTTTCAAGCAGTAGATTGGTAGCTATATATAAAAATATGTACAAATCAGGTGGGCTAGTGGAAAAGCAACCATACATTGAGTATTTGTTCTGATTCTTTTTGTACATTGTATGTGTATAATAGTTAATTATCTACCTGCTGGAGCTGTTTGAAGGAGGAACATTCTGTCTTAAGATATTGGATTGATCTGGGCAATAATAGTACATTAATTTGAGGCTGTAATTGATAGTCAGAAAATGGAATTGCATCACTTCAACTCAAAGTATTGAAATTTACCATCTTACTTTTTAGATTTTTATTTTAAGCCTCTTATAATGTCAGGATTATAACATGATGACTAGTCTAATTGATATGATAGTTCTTCAGTCTCTATGATGCTGCTTTGAAGAAGTGTTTTTGTTGAGTTTCCTGCAAACTGAAGCACACCTATGAAATTTCTTACAGCTGCAATAAAATATAAACTTTATGTATACAATTGCCAGTAAGTTGTTGAGTTGAAATGTTAAGAGCAATAGAGAGAACCAGGTACAAATCTAATCTCAGGCAAGAGCAGCTGTTTGGATGATAGTATGAAAAGATTGCATTATAAGCTCAGAGAGGAAAATTTAGATGTAAACTTAACAATTTTTTCACACATACACTATAAATGCAGATACAAATAACTTTATTGCCATCATTAACCAGCATAAACTATAAATACAACACATGTCTGTTTAATAAATACAACACATGTATGTTTAAAGACCCTTGGTGGTGCACTGGTTAGACTGCAGTTTTGCAGGCTATTTCTGCTGCAGCCAGCTGCCTGCAATTTGGCAGATCGAATCTCACCAGGCTCAAGGTTGACTCAGCCTTCCATCCTCCTAAGGTAAAATGAAGACCCAGATTGTTGGGGGCAATATGCTGGCTCTATAAACTGCTTAGAGAGGGCTGTAAAGCACTATAAAGCAGTATGCAAGTCTTAAGTGCTATTACTATTTATAAATCTTATGTGTGTTTGTGTGTAGAAATTGTAAGAAATTCTCAGGACTTTAGTAAACATCAAGGTTTATTCATAGTATTTATTTGTTACCTACTGTAAATATCCCGCTAAAATTAATATAACTCTCATAAATGTGACAAAGAGAAAATAAGATTTCTTAACACACACGAAAATTAACATATATTACATAGGAAGTTTCAACTGAACCTTTATATGTCTTAGAAAATCTTATTCTTAAGATGGCTTAATTATGTTGTTTTTTTATTGTAGCACTTCAAAAGGGTGAATGAAATGAGCTCTTTCGATTCTAGTATTTGAAAAGCTAAGTAATTCTATGGAAGAATTGTTCTAAATGAGCCTGGCCAAGATACTGGATCTGTGTGAAGAGGACTAAGGATACAATAGGATGTCAACTGAGACAGAACTTCAAGTGGCTGTTAAAACCAGCACAAAGAAAGAGTCTAAAAAGAAAGGTAGGAATTTCTTGTACTTTACAGCTTAGTTAAGGATGGTACTATTTCTACTTATAGGATCTTGTATTGTTGTTTTGCTAGAAACTAACTGACCAGATGGGTACACAAATTCTGTTTCTCCGTTAAGCTTGAATGCATTGAAGGAATTAAATGATATGCAGCAGACATATACATTCCTATAGAATCGGGTTTGTTCTGTATTTTTCTATAAGCATTTATAGGGGAAAAGGGGATTTCTAGAAGTATATTTTCTCAAATTACTTTAAATGTGTCTTTTTATTGATTATTTTAGAGATTTTTTTGTTCTGTTTATTGATTTGTTTTCTCCTAGGACTTTATCAACCAATCCAGATTTTGGTGGATATTTTAGCTATCATATTTCAACATTTTTGTATACCGTGATGTCCCATCATAATGAGAATAGTGCTTTCTGGCCTTCATATGAATAAGCTTTTTTTTCATAGCTTACCTGATCCTCTATTTCTACCCTGTGCTATATACATATTTATTTCTTGTCTATCCATGCAATCTATGAAGTTGCATTGACTTATAGTGGAGACTATATTAAATATTTCTGGCCTATTACTCATATGTATTAAATATTCAAAATATCTTCCTTTATAGGCCAGGTAGCAAACCTCTCTATTACATCACATGGCTTTTTAAATGTCTTCTACAGAGTTCATTTGGCCTATCCTGATTGGTTTTTTTGTTTTAAAAAAAAACCACCTTAAAATCTGGCTCTTCCCCAACAGCGGTTGATGGATTGGTCATGGGATCTTTATTTTAATGGTGTTGGCATTCTTTTTGTGGATATTTGTTCTGTAGGACCTCTGCATTACTATTTTTAATTGTCTCACATCATTCACGGCACAGAATTGTAATGGAGATTAGCAGACTATATATACATTGCACAATACAGCACAACATAGCACAACGTAACATAACATGAGCGAGAGGCAGAATAGGCAATACTAAGATCTTTTTTTGTGTATGGATTCTCACACAATTAGCAAATGAAATGAGAATTACCATGCTGCCATGCAGAAAACAGCTTTTGAGGATGAAGCAAAGTTATTAAAAAAAAAACCAAGTAGCTTAGCATAAATAAGTTCAGCAAAATTTGGGATCATTCTGATCAATCAACACTGACTTCAGAGTTGTTTGAAGGTATTAAGTACGTTCACCACCTTCAGTGTGTGTGTTTGTTTGTGTGTGGAGGGGGGGAGGGGCAAAATGATAGTAATGTAAAGAAGGTATTTTTATCATTCAAGCATCTGGCTATGGGAAATATTTCCAGAACTGGAAGCTGAAATTCCATTTTCCACATGGCAGCGTTAACCTAAGTCCTTCCAGATTGTCCTTAAACTATTAAATAATAAGATGCAGGAAGCATGAAGAGCAACACTGTGGATTATGTGACCATAAGGCAGAGTATTACAGAGGGGGAGTTGTCACCATTCTGAGCTGCTTCACATCTGCTTTACTATAGGAATGCTTTGGAAATGTCTTCAGTGATTTTTTTGTTTTTTTCTCAATTGAATTGGATTCTCAACCCATTTCCTAAACTCAGAGTTTCTTTTGCTGATTATTTCCCCCGCACCAAATTTTATTTATTGTCTGTTTTGTGTGTGGGGGGGGGGGGGAGATTACTATTCTGCTAGTAGACTTACACACAGGCAAATAGATAATGTTCCAGGACCTTTTAATCAGCAATTGATTCCTAAAACAAAGAATTAAAGGAATAGACAGTTACCATAATATTTGGTATTAAGTTAGATCAAAGCTGAGGATATGAAATTTTGTGATACTATGGTCATTAAAAAAAACACATACATTTAAATATCCGAACCTCTAGTAAAAGTAACAATTTTTTTACCGGTGTTAGAGTAAGGGAAAAGGAATTCCCACTTTTAATTACTATATTTTAACTGTATATCAAATGAAAAATGCTAAATCCATTTAACCTTTTTCAAAAAACCTTCCATTTGATATACTCCGGAATGACCATACTGTATTGAATCCTGTAAGTCCTTGACTTACAACTATTTGTTCACAGATCATTCAAAATTACAATGGCACTGATAAAAGTTACTTCCACTTACTGGTCCTCATACTTGCAACCATCACACTGTCTCCATGGTCATGTGATTAAAATTTGGATACTTGGCAACCAGCATCTATTTATGAGAGTTGTTGCATCTAGAGTCATGTGACTGCAATGTGTGACCTTCACAGCTGGTTTATGATAAACAATGTTAATAGGTAACATAAATTGTGGCCCCAATTGTGGTCATAAGTCCAGAACTTCCTGTATATTTTTTACATAAACTGGTTAAAAAAAAAACCTTTGTGAAGAAAGCAATCCGCCAAGCCTTCATCAGTTGTTTTGAGACACATATTGTAAGAGAAATATGTATGATCTATATCAGGGGTGTCAAACTCAAGTCTTCACAGTGGCGTCACATGATGTATCAGGAATTTTTTCCCCTTCGTTAAACTGGGTGTGGACGTGGCCAGCATCCGGCCCATGTGCCAGGAATTTGGCAGCCCTGATCTGTATGGTATGACTAGTTACAACTCACAATATGGGAAACTACTACACTAGAGTCAGATAGGGAACAGACAGAATGTTTTTGTGACTGCTATTGCATAATCTATACTTTCACCATCATTAATATTTATGTTTTAAATTCCTTCCTCATTTAGAAGTCTGATATCTACTAGCATGGGGCAGATAATGAATTTGCTAATAATAAATTGGCTGGGATCACTGTCAAAAACTGTCTTTTGTTTATGTGGGACAGGCCTATTTAATACACACTTTCCACAGTAACTTACATGGCAATTTCAATAATTCATAAATGCATGTGCTGCAGAGTTTAATTGATTGAGTTCAAACACTTTGCAAAAATAAACCTCTTGTGTGAAAGGGTTACTGACAGCATTAATTAGAGATACTCTGAGTCATAGTGCAAGCTATGGAAAATTTTCCCAACTGAGTCACAATTGAAAAAGTCATTCATCTTCCTATTTTGTTAGAGAATGATTCTTTTCATTGGGCACATATTTTGACTCCATTTTCTCAGTGGAATGCAAGTGATCAAGTAAAAAGAAAAGAAAAAGGCAATGATGATAAGCACAATTAGAAAGTTAAAGAAACTCCTTGGACACATTGGCATGAATTTAGCTCTATTTGTTACCATAAAAGAGGCAAATGTTTATTTATTTATTTAAGTGTGTATGTATGCACATATGTATTTATTTGTTTATTTCTTATTTTTGAAATTTTAAGCAAGCCAGGCTATTGCAGATCATTGCCAATCATTTTTTAAACTATTTCAATTATTTCAAGAGGAATGTGTGAATTTAAATTGGAAAATCGAAGTATATTCAATGAAAACATTTACTGATTTCAAAATTTGGTTCAGTTGAATTAGCACTGCACTGATATTAATATATGTTTTGGGTCATTCTAAATTAACATTATTTTTCTGTAAATATTTAAAAATATTGTTAAATTAGATATTAGTTATTTTCAAGATTTCTAAAACACATTTGGGATATTCCATATTAAGGGAATATTAAGGAATATTAAATACATGTTTAATGATCGTGAGATTAATATTAATTCAACAAAAATATTTTTAGTGTTTACAGGGCACCCTCATTATATTGGAAGTGTAAAATTGGTAAGGGACACACATTATGGCCTTAACCATTAATGGTCCATTTTAGTTTATTTTGATAAATTGGTTAATTTAACAAAATAATATGAAGACTACCATTGTTTAGAGATATGAATATATTGTAAACCATATTACTGAATGTGGGAAAGCAGGTTTTTTTTAAAAAATTATTAACTTGGATGACTGTTAGCATTTCTTAGGGTATTTAAGTATGAGTATTTCATAAATGTTATGATGAGATATATCAAACAGCTGTAGAGTAAATCTTGAAAACAGCAATGTCTAAATCTCACTAATCTTTATAGCATTTAAGCAATTCTTCTATGCACTTTACTGCAATCAATAAAAACAGATTTAAAAACCTGAAAACACATTTTTTTCCTGTAAATTACTGTATTATGAAGTCTTAAAAATACTTTGTGTATGCTTACAACAACGTACTCAGTAACACAATTCATTTAAGCTCCTAGCATAAATTTATAGAAGTAATATGAAAAGCTATTTTGAATCAGGACTATTAAAGTCCTTTTTGGCATGAAACAATAAGAGGACAATTACAGACAGTGCTTGTCTTACAAACAGGACACATTCCAAGAGGTTTTTTGTAAGACTCTTGTGTTTGCAAGTTCAAGCAAGTGTATATATGCAGTGCTTTTAAACTAACCTTCTCCCATGTTTCAGGACTTTCTTTGTTGGAATTGCAAACAGATTTGCTTGTATCTGCACAAGTGCATAATTCAAAAGTTCCTAAGTGATGCCTATACTCCTTTTATGTATCCAAGCTATAGCAGTGGTGGGATTCAATTCTTTTTTACTACTGGTTCTGTGGGCGTGGCTAGGTGGGCATTGCCAGATGGTCATGTGACTGGGTGAGCATGGCTAGGTGGTATTTTTTTTTCCCCTTTCACAGCAAACCCCCGTACCCTGGTTTTTGGTTTTTTTTTTGCTTACTGGGCCTCAGGGAAACCTCCTGGGAGCAAAAAAGTGGCGCGTAAAGGCTGCACAGCTTCCCCCCCGTGCCCCATTTTTTGCCTACTGGGCCTCAGGGAAGCCTCTTGGTGAGATAAGTACAACAGTGAGGTGGTGGGGATCAGCTGTGGCACACGATTTAGATTAGCTACAAATCAAGAAATTTGATGATTTCCTGCTTTCTACCTAATCTAAATCGCATATTATTTTTACTAGTGGTTCGGTTGAACCAATAGCATTTTTTACTACTGGTTCACCTGAACCGGACCAAACTGGTAGAATACCACCACTGAGCTACAGGTGATAGAATAGCATCACAATTTTCTGTTGTAACTGAGAAAA